GATCAATCATTAGCATTTCAAGATGCAGTGACGAGGTCAACTCTCGTTGCTCCGGTAGATTTACTTCTGATGATATAGCTATGCTTGCGTCAAAATTAGTTGGATTGATGTCTCGTGCAATAATTGCTTTTTGTCGCATTGCTATCTGCCCATTCAATAAATAAAATACGTTTAGACACTTGGGACCGTGCAACAAAGAAGCAAAGACGAATAACGTAAAAACGATAATACTTCGTGACCAAATAAACTCATCGTGGATTGGGGGAAACATTACAAAAAAGGATTTGTACACTGTAGGAGGGAGTAAAGCAGGTCATCTTAGCGCCTGAAAGATTAGTGGATTTGACGCTAAGATGCTAAGAGAGGCAATGATTGGTTGCAGTATGCATAGCGTTGTGTCGAAACATTTATGAAAGACACTTCAACAAATTTGCTCAGAAATTACTTCTCTCAACAAAAACGCAATTTGGACACTCCTCTGTTCTTTTGCAAACACTTTTTCAGTAAAAACCTAACTGAACGAATACGTCAGAGGCATTTGTCGACGAAAATCCTCGGACACTCTTTTGATGTCGTTCACATTACAAAGCCTTTACTTTGCATGTGATGCTTCAAGCTGCCTGATAAATGGTGACCCGATTCCGCTTTATCAGACCATCACTTAGCAATTTGTAATGTAAGCAACTATTTTTTAAGCCATGGTTACTTTAGAAAGATCAGTGCGCGATTTACAACCTCAATACTGTAAAATGCAGCACCATAGAACTGATATTGTCCAATGACCTAGTCAAATGCGGCTTATAGGCATCTGTTGGGTCTTGACTACAATTGGTCCGATGTTCATGCACACCCCTTCGTCATAGGTAATCCACTATTTTTATAGACCAAGGTTCTGCAGCAACCAATTAGCGGAAGCGAATGAGTAGCTGCCTGTTCAGAAACCATTTACTTTAATCAATTTGGTATCCGAAACTCAGTTTACATTTATTGGTCTTTGTTTACAAGAACCGTATTAACATGCAAACGCACCGAGTGTAAGTATGCTCCTTCTTTCCCAACCGGTCACGTAGTTTTTTTACTGTTTTCCTTGATGTCGGGCTAGTTGAGTGTCAAAGTAGATTCTTTACAGTCTACACTGATTGCGACATATCCCTGATATGTCACCTTGAGCAGAGTAGATGACGCAACTTGAAATGCGGCGCTGTTGTCGAAAATTTTATAAATTTCTGTTTTTAAATTCCAGGAGTGGCTGCTTTAGGATTTGCAAGATACCTCGTTGTTTATCCCGTGGTTGGTGGCAGTAAGCGAAAAGAACAAGCGCCACGACCACGTTGAAAGATCATAACCATTACCAAAGTAAAGTGACTTATCCCTGCCCAAACCTCAAATCACTATCCCTACAATCAGAATGTTTGAACTTCTTCCTGTTCGTGCGGACTGAATCAAAACTGTAAAAATCAGGGCGATAGTTTAGAATACACGCGACAATTGCTAATAGTGCGGGATTCGAATTGCAACATATCTAAAAAAACGTGCGCCATATATGTCTTTTTGTTTTTTAAAGCAGATAGAATTAAACAAGTTTACAGTTAAAAGAAAAGCTTACGCGTGCGCAAGCTTCATTTACTAACTGTTAACGTTGAACAAAGGGTGGCTGTACCAAACAATTATCTCTAACCAAGAGATGATAGTTATCAAAAAGAAACATTGAATACTTGTGAATAAGTTTCCCCTATAGCTTTTGATCTTATTTAATAACAATTCATTGAGCACTCAAGCAGCGTAAGCTATTGTTCGATCAGGAAGATAATCATTATTGTGGACTTACCTGGAAAACGGATAATCTAAACTTATTAAGCAAGCACACCAAATTTTTTTGCATTAAGTATATATGAAGATTTTTTACGACGCAACACTGTGCCTTCAGAATTGTTGACCTAGGGATTTAAAGTGTCGTAAGATTTGACAATTTATCAAATAGGAGATTCCATTTAAATGGCCAACAAAACATAATAAATGTTGGTCAGCAATTAAACGTTAAGGTTTATAATGATCTACTAAACCATGACAAATTTTACCTTCGCTTTAGCCTTTTCCTTAAAACGGGAAACTTTTCGTAAATTCCTTTGACGGATTGCTGGTCCTGCGGTAATGTAAGGTTAATTAGATTTGCTACCTTCGGATCGATTAGAATCGAGAATTAATTTATTAAACAAAGCGCTCTGATACAAACAGCTCAGAGCTAAAAGGAATAAAATAAATATTTGGTGTACGTTCGGAACTGGGCGATGATGACCGCGAGGAGCAGTGATAAGAAATCGAAATACCAGAAAGGAGACTTTGAATTGATTTGCATTCATCAATATCATCATAAGCTATACTTTTACTATTTTGACTACGAATTATGGAACAATCAGACGGCATAAATGTCGGTATCCTGATACACAACCTTGACAATACAAAAGCAAGTTCATTGCGATATAGATAATTAAAACATGAGGCATCATTCAAGCTTTATATCCATTTTTAAAATTTTAAAGCATGTCAATCATTCGGAGTCTTTAACTCGTTTTGCAAAGAAACAATCTGTTAATTTTAGATATGTCCATTTGAGAACGCTAGCATTTTTATGATTTAGTTTATATTGACGTACTAATAATTAAATTAAATTTTTCCTAATTTAGCTACTATATTGAAAAATTCATGGATTTTTAGATTATATTTGACTATTAATGCATACACTGTTACTAAAACGTTTTTGTCCTTAGCCACTGTATCTGAACATGTGAAATGTAAAAATAACTTTCTATTAATAATAAACACGACTTACCGCAGGCTGAAATATAGATGCTACTTACAAAAAAAATTGTTCAAAACATTAAATTTGGGCTTCTTGATTTACTTGACCTAGCGCCTATTTATTATCGATTCGAATTCTAACACTTCACAATTCATAGGTTTTTGTCTGATTTTAACCCTCACTACACTCTAATATACGTGAAAAAGGTCATCACGATGATTGAATATTTTGGTACTGAATCGTACTGTTTGAATATTTCCTCTTGTCAACTAGCTGTAAATGTAGAATATACCACTATTTAGCATAATAATGACAATAAGAAAACAAAAGACCATTTTACGTTCCATAAACAATATTTATTCTCTATAACCTGCCCAACTGACAGGATTCTGTTCGCGTTATCCTTCAAATTGCAATACTCTACACTAAGCCGCTCATTATATACTGCTCCGCATTCGTGTATTCCTCTGGATGGCTGTTTAACTTCGATATTGCACTGCACCACACAACCGTAGAATATACAAGCTCTAGTAAGAAGAATATTGGTACAACGAACAGGCTTTATAGACCATTCACAGTCCAGAACTACTCGTCAGGCCCCTTCCAACTGAGTCCATAATCCTGGCTACGCCGCTCATTATATACTACTCCTTATTCGTGTCATTCGTTGGTTGGCTGTCTACCTTCGTAGCAAGCCATTAGAACGCAGAAAGACAGAGGATTGGCTGAGACCAGCAGGGCCAATGTGTTTGCGCCCTCAGACGTCGCCACTGTAGAATACCCGAGCCCTAATAGGAAGAAGGCCGGTACAACAGAACAGGCTTTAATGACCAATCACAAGCCATAGCCACACGTCAGGCGCCTTCCATCCGAGTACACGACGCTCAATATAAACTACTCCTCGTTCGTGTCCTCTGGTTGGCTGTTTATCTTCCTCGTATGCCAGTGGAACGCAGGGAGACACAGGATTGTCTGAGGCCAGTGTAAAATATGTCTGCGCCCTGATATGTTGCCATTGTAGAATACCTGAGCCCTAATAGGAAAAAGACCGGTACAACAGAACGGGCTTTATTGACCAATCAGAAGCCAGAGCCACGCGTCAGGCGCCTCCCATCCGAGTCCTCCACGCTGGCCACGCCGCTCATTATATACTGCATCTCATCCATGTCCTTCTCTGGTTAACTGCCTTCCTTTCTCGCATTCCATTGGATCGCAGAGAGACACGGGATTGGCTGAGGCCAGGTGGTCTAACATGTCTGCGCCCAAATCCGACGCCACTGTAGAATACCCGAGCCCTAATGGGTAAAAGACTGGTACAACAGAACAGGCTTCATTGACCAATCAGAAGCCAGAGCCACGCGTCAGGCGCCTTCCATCCTAGTCCACCACGCTGGCCACGCCGCTCATTATATACTGCTCCTCAGTCCTGTCCTTCTCTGGTTGGCTGCCTTCATTTCCCGCACGCCATTGGATCGCAGAGGGACACGGGATTGGCTGAGGCCAGGCGGTCCAACATGTCTGCGCCCTGATCCGACGCCACACCACCCCACACCATATCATACCGCACCACTCCATACATTACGCCACACTACATTTGAGGCGGCATGAGTTCAGCTGGTCGAATTCTGCCCCTGTTGTCTCTTAATGGGGAGAGAATCAGAAATGTTTGCATTCTTGCTCATGTTGATCATGGTATGTAGGATGTTTATTGTTATTTCCAAGTTCTCTGCCGATGCTCATATGCGCGTCGTTTTTCAATGCTTATTCGTTCCACTTTTCGTCCTATTAAGTTAAGTATTTTTATATTATGAACCAATGCGTTTCATCATACAAATAACAATGGTGATATAAGCTTAAGCACCCTTAGTCTAATTTAAGGCAGGTGTTGTTTTTCTGTCGACCTCTGTGCCAGATAGCCTGCAACAGCAGCATTTCCGAAAGTAGGATTGCATGGCAGAATTTTTGTTCCTTCGGTCATAGAATTCTACTGTCTGATCGAGAGTTGTATTGCATTACGTTCTCGTAAGGACTGTTTTATCTTGGTCCATCGTCGTGTTCGTGAATGAAGTTACAACATTGTTGTAGCTTTTTTGTCTGTTATCTGTAGTCCCTAGCCACTTAGCTTTTAATCACCCAAGGATTGCTTTCCTATATTGTATTTAGTGTTGGTAATCTAACACTGCCTCAACTGACTCATTAGGGCCTAATTTTTCAGTCCTGCTTAAACCTTCTCGATGCGGCAATTGCCAATTTTTTTCACCTAGGCAAAACTTCGCTCGCGGATGCGTTGCTTGCTACAAATGGCATCATTTCCTTTCGCCAAGCAGGAAAGCTGCGATTCATGGACAGCACTGAAGCAGAACAATTACGTGGCATTACAATGAAATCAAGCGCAGTTTCCCTCTTTTACAACCCTTCAATTAAATTAACTCGACAAGTGTCCCCTCAGTTAGCCGTCGATGATCCTGATTCTTATCTTGTTAATCTTATCGACTCTCCAGGGCATGTGGACTTCTCTTCGGATGTTTCAACTGCTGTTCGTCTCTGTGACAGCGCCATCATCGTTGTAGACGTTGTCGAGGGTGTCTGTCCACAGACACGGGCTGTCCTCCGACAAGCCTGGAATGAGCGTCTCACACTTATTCTCGTTTTGAACAAAATTGATCGCCTCTTTATTCAGCTTGGTCTCACGCCTATTCAGATGTACGATCGGATTCTACGAGTTCTGGAACAGATCAACTCGATTTTGGCTGAAATGTTTACTGCGGATGTGCTGCAGCAATCTTATAAAAACAGAAATGGAGTATGTGCCGTCTGGTTTCGCTTCGTACACTACTATTTGCGGTAACAATTTTTGCAATTTTCCTGGCTGTTAGATAATGGTTTGCTGTTTTATACCTAGTCTGACTTAGAATGAAGAACCCAAAATTGGAGTATTTATGCGATTGTCAGTCCACCTGACATGGATAAACTGGTGTTTAAAGCAGGTCTGGTAAAATTTCCTGTCTTATCAAATATTCGATTTATGATGCAGAGAAATATGTAGGAGTTATATTTGTGCATAGTACGAGGTTCATCTATTGGCGTACACAAAACTTAGTTTCGACCTATTTTATTGTTTAATGAACTTGATTTTCCACCTTTGTGAATCACTTCCACGTTGACGACCCTCAATGCTACTCTATTTTTCGGCAACTTCCTTGACTCAAAAATGCTTGAAGTGCCGTTTTATGATCAATGCTAGTTCTGCTTAGTAGCTCCCCGTTTTACTTGGGTTTGTGTTCTGAATGCAATAACCTACCCTTTTGGTTCAAGGCAAACATTCAGCTTATATTATTTGCGTGTAACTAGCTGCATTTAAATGAACATTCATAACATTAGCCTGCAAGTAAAATGTCTTACTCCTGTTTTGTGGTCCCAAAATCTTGACCGAGTTTACTTACTGAGAAAGCAACACTTCCACCAATTTGTAATTTTGCAATTATGCACATCAGATATTAAGGTGATGCTAAACGTTCAGTGTTTAGGCTCTCTGAAAACTTTGTTTACCGAAGTTGTCGAGTTTTCCACTGCTTTCTATTGGTTTTGAACCTACTTATCCAAACTAAACGAGAGCGATCTGCTAACATACTTTGAATATATTACGCATTTTCTGAAAGTTGGTATTCATTTCGGAATGAAATCAGTGCGCAATAGCTGTTATTGTGTCTTTCCAACACTTGCTTTACCCTCGGGTAGCTGGATCTTCTTAAGATGGGATTAGCTATGTAGGCATCAACGGAGAAATGCTAAGCCCGGTGTTTAATACGGTGCCAAAGGTATGAAGTTAGTTTATTACTATCGTAGTCGTGAATTGATTGTTCTCTTTTTTTGTCGAAGGTGACAACGGCGGACCAATCGACAGGAACTGCCTATGCCTGGAGCACGGGTTTGGAGACGACAGACGATTCCCATGTCTACTTTTCTCCAGATCGAGCTAATGTCGTGTTTACTTCTGCGGTAGATGGATGGGGTTTCCGAATTTCCGATTTCGCCGAGGTGTGGGCTGAGCGCCTAAAATTACCCAAGAAGGGCTTACTGAAGGCATTATGGGGGGATTATTACTTTATCCCTTCCTCCAATGGCGGACCACCCAAAGTCAAGGGACATGCCAGAGCAAAGGATAAGAAACCTGTCTTCGTCCAACTTATTGCTGATCAGATCTATCACATCTACAAGGTAGGGCTCTTTGCAAAATTAACTGGTATGAAAGACAACAGGTGGACGGCCTTCTCTCCATGCTGGCTATTGTAATTCCGGATGTTTACCTTTAAACCGTTAAATTGTATTCTGATAAACGTGTCTACTGCTACCTGAACTTTTTTCGGTTGTAATTAGCACATGACAGTTTAAGTGTTCCTTAGCTCAATTACATTTTGATCCTTTACTTCGATCTCCAGCAGTGAAATTGGAAACATCTATTGTACACAGTTACAGCTGTTCCTCAAATAGTTGAGCCGAAGTAGCTTTTTCTTGCTTCATTTAGACACTTGTTCTGGATGGAAACCGCGACAGAGCAGTTCACATTGCTGAACGTCTGGGCATACCGCTGGAGCCGCGTTTGCTTCAGCTAAACGTTGACAGCCGAACTTTATTGCGCTCAATTCTTAGTACTTGGCTTCCCCTCGGGCCGGCCATGTTTCGTGCAATAGTTGATGTCTGTCCTAGCCCTCTGAATGCTGTCGATCAGGTTCGGGCCCGATTAATGCTGTTTGGAGAATCCTGTAGGGTTGGAGGCGGTGGTGGTCTAGTACAATCCATTTTGCAAGAAGTTGAGTTGGAAAATGGCTTGAATTCAACAGAAGAGAAGGATAACCGTGATCCGTCTGCGTTTCCAGCCATTACCGGCAAGTTACTAAGCGATCTTGTGCACCTTCATCACTGACTTTATCGTTTGATAAATGCTGATAGGAAATGAAACGATCAAAACGGTAATGCACATTAAAGAAATAATTTTTTACGGAACCAATTTGATTGCCCACATTTTTACATCTGGCAACTAAAGATTCAGTCAATGCAAACCTGTATATTCAACAGGGGGACAAGGGGAAAGCTACTTCGTTGGCTGGCGTCTATTTGGGACATGGGAATGTCCTTCAGAAAGACGTAGTAAATGGCGACGAATAAAAAACATTTCTAAATTTAATTACGTCTTTTTTTCAGTTGAGATCAGGTTTTTCTATGCACCTAATTATTCATCAGCCCAATATTTCCAGTCTCAATCGCCCCCTGCACGTATCACGTAGCTCAAAATAGTAAAACTTACCATGGTTTGTTTTTATGTTAAACTGATTTCCCATGGGTATGTTGTGTGCTTTTTTACTACAATAACAGTACTTAATATGCCCGTTTTCAGCGCTGGAAGCCTGTAGTTCAGATGCTGACGCCCCCGTGATCATCTTCGTTTCGAAGATATTTTGGACGGATAAACAAAAAAATCCCTTTCACAGCGTCGTATTATCCAGAGATACTCCAAAATCTTTATCGTAAGTCTGGTCCCATGTCAGCATACAGTGTCGTGTTAATTTGCAGATTGTTGTGTGAATTTGGTCGAACTTCCTCTGTGCTTATATCGCACAGTTGATATTAGCTTTCTGCCTAAAATTTTCCCTTTTTTTTGCATTTGGTAGAACTGATCTGGTTTAGAATGTAAAAGTTTCACTAAGAAACCAGATTGACTAAAATGTAGTATTTTACCTGGTAAGTAACTTTGGCCATATTCCCATTAACGCGGCCAATTGTATGTTTCCACAAAGACATAAGGTAGGTTTCCACCAACTGAATTAAGGCTACCGAACTTGCAGTGCGATAGAATAATCCATAAAGTTGTTAATAATTGCTCAGTTGTATTACAATTGTTGTTTTTGATAGTAATTTGCGAGTTATCTTGAGCCAGTGTGCTTTAGATTGAACGAATTAAACTGGCGAACTATCAGAAAACGTCAACACTTCGACTTTACAAATACCTTCACCCAAGGCTTTCGTTCGTGTTACCTGAGTGTTGTGACTCATGGTTGCCTTTAATTTTCCCATTCTAGTGTGACCAAATCAGTGTCCTTTGCTGCAAACAGGACGAGTCTCAATTCCACTTCTGATAGCAAGGCTGTTCCAATAGAAGCAGCCCCAGTGAGGCCCGATGTCGATAGCGAGTTTATCGCGCTTTCGAGAATCTATAGTGGTCGAGTGAAAATCGGGCAGCGACTTTTTGTCCTTGGACCAAAATTCGACGGAAGCTGTGTACGTTTAGCGCAGTGGCCTCTCTTGCTTCTTTACTGAAATTGTCCTTAACTTTCAGTCGGTGCACTGCGTTTTATTCAGCATTTTAATATCGACGTAGGTTTTTAGTGACTTAGGATGCCGTAATACTTTCTATATTAGCTTCCAAATTCCTTCCCATTAAATGTTTTCAACGCGGCTCCTTGATTTTATATTTCAATGGGTTTTGGTCTCATCAGTGCGCACAACTCCTAAGATGTTCCTATCGATGCCAACCTCCATAAGCCTCCTCCACTCTTATGTTGGGCTACCAGCATACTGTTTTCACAATGCTCGTTCCCTTTTTTTAGATTCCAGAATGTCTTTTGGATGCAGAACCCTCCGAATTTCCCCTTGGCCCACTTCAAATACCCGAAGCAGATGAAGTTATTCCATCTATTCATAGTCGTCGAAGATCCACATCAACAAGTTCATCCACCAATCAGGGTCATTCATTATCCGGTGGTTCTTTTGATGGTTCACACTGTGAAAAGCGTGTTCTTCGCCACGCCTATGTGGCCGAAATCGCTGACCTAATCCAGTTTGGCGGTGGGCAGAACAATGTCTCTCGTCTCAGTGATCCTGTGTGTCCGATCGATTCACTCACTGCGGGCAATGTGGTTGGTCTCATCGGCCCATCATTAATAACCAGTGTACCTAAGTCCGGACTTCTGGTCTCTAGCCTACGTTTAGTTGCAAGTCCCACAGCACATCGCGTTCTCCCACTAGCTGGTCTTGCAATTTGGCATGGTGCTCCTGTCGTATCTCTTGCCATCGAACCTGCGAGTGCCTCAGATCCTAACGACATGGTGAGACTTGAAACTGGACTCCGTCTTCTGGAAAGATCTGATCCTTGTGCTGAAGTCACTATTTCATCAAAGGGCGAGTACCTTCTGCATGCTGCCGGGGAAATCCACATGCAAAAATGCATTGAGGATTTGACTAAGTACTTTGCACCAGATCTAGATTTGCATACATCACCGTTTGTTGTCCCATTCCGAGAAACTGTGACTGAGGCTTGCCCGCCTGGTTCGTATGTCCCATTCGATTCACTTGCATTTGCTAAAACCTGCCTGGAACAAGAGCTCAGGGAAAAACACCTAGTGTACGACGAAGAGCGGGAAAATTGTGTGCGTCTGTGCCTCGGTGAAGAAGGACGGTTGCAGCAAAGTCGCCAACCCACCTCGGCAAACGTAAAAGCTCACGGCACGACTGACCCAACACGCTACCTGCCATTGGGCATGCTCCAACTGCCTCACAGCAAGTCAAAGACTCGTGTCTTTATTCGCGTCACCGCCCACCCAATCCCAAAGAACCTACTCGCGTGGCTCGAGACTCGTGCTTTTGCCTATATGCCCCTCCTTCTACGTTCATTCAAGCACAAGTCATCTTCATCACGCCGCTCTTTGGCCTGCCTGAAAAAGTTTGAGGAAGAATTATCTGCCCAATTAGATGAAGTGCCCCCAGAGGCTTGCTCTTCCCTTAACTGGCCTTCTCTCAAAGGTCGACTCCTGTGTCTTGGACCGCAACAGGTAGGACCAAATCTTCTCTTTTCTCGTCTTCGATCGGGCCTGTTTCGTTTGGATACAGCCTGGGGTAAACCATTACCCCCTTGGTCGGACTCAACTGGAGAGGCCTTTGCAGAATCTGGGGTGAGTGTCGAAGCGACAGCCCAAATCCCTTTCCTGAGCTATGGGAAGGCCATACTGCGCGGCTTTCAGGTGGCGACGGAACAAGGACCGCTGTGCGCTGAGCCTCTACGTGGTGTAGCCTTCGTCCTAGAGGAAATATTTGCTGAGGATCGTATGCAGTTACCCACCCCCAGAATTCTCACTCCAAATGATCTCCTCGAGAAACCTGAGGATTCAAGCCGTGGCTTAGTGGACACAGAACCTGTGGCAGATGGGCTTAATGTAAGTTTGGCATGTTAACTAGTATTAAGTCACGGCATACGTCAATCCATGTTAACAGCGTATTCTATATTTTGTTCAGCTTGTCGAATCGGTTTTCTTATGGACTTTTCTAATTGATCGAACATTTAGCACCTTTATCTTGAAATCTCTGTTTTCTGTGCTACTTCCGTAGTGGTCACATAACGTCAATTTTTCTCTTGTTTTTATTGCCTGCTTCAGACAGTTGGCAAATTTCAGGTTTTCTAAACTAACTAGTCACTATCGAATCCCTCCTGTAAACCAAGTGCTTGTTAATGGCCCGTGTGCTCCTGTAGTATTCGGTTTATTAGTCATAAGGATCTCACCTTTGCTGTAAAATTGATACCAGTATATAGTCTATGCTTTGGATCCATCGGTCCATGGTAGTCGAAATGCTACCATGTGTTGATGTGCATCTGGATTGCTTCAGTTCCAATTCAGCCTGGGGATAGCCGGCTGTTTGACTGCTGGTAAGATCTAACCTTAAGTAGTCTTCCTTTTGTTTCCAGCCGTTTTGGATAATTTTTTCCTGCCAAGAATTGCACATCTGCGCCGTAAATTTCATCATTGACCTCCGTTTTGTATTAGGTACACGAGAATCCAGATGTCAAAGTGGATGAAGACGAACCTACAGAAGCCGATCCAGTTCTTGCAGCATTGAAAGCGAAACGGGCCGCCATCCAGATGCGCCAAAAGGCTCACCATCTTGCCTCTTTTTCGCGGTTGAATGGGGATGATTTTGTTGATGATGATAGTGACGATGACGACAATGTCGATAGCGAGTGGAGTGAAACTAGTGACGAAGCATGGCATAGCGACAATACCAATGCCGATTCTAATAATCAATCAGAAGACCCTAATCCCAGAGATTCAGAGGAACATGTAGTCGAACCTGAAGTGAGTAGTATTTTGCTCTAAATTATCCCAAAGGCTTCCTGGTGGTGGTCTTGCTGGTCTATTGCCTGTAAACACAGGATTTATGAAGTTGAAACAGTTAATTTACCCAAACCTGTCGTACTTAAACTTGGGTACCATCCTTGCAAGGGCAGGGTAGCTGGTAAACAATGTGGTTGGATGTCGTGCTAGGAAATCGAATTACATGAGCACATCAAACCACCAAGAATGAGAAACCATTGATGTAGGTTGTGTCAAAGCGTTCTCCATTGAATGGTGCATATTCCATTGAATATATTACGGGCTTAATCATATTTGAATTATTGTAGAAATACGTGTCAAAGTTTAGGTTTTTCATTTTTTGAACCAAATTTCGTTGCAGAAGAGGATATCCCTTTCCGATTACTATTACTGGCAACGCAGGCATGATAATGAGTGGCTCTCCGATGTCACCCCTGGGTTATTAACGCCAGCCATGGCGAGAGCTTGCACCTCCGCCTTTCAAGCCTGTCCCGGTCAGCGGCTTGTCCTTTCGATGTACGACATCGAGCTTCAGGTAAGTATGATTATTATCGTGGGACCGCAAATGCGCGCTGCTTCCTTGCGTTTAGCTCAACGCGCCTAAAACCCGCTTGCCTTGTCAATTATTACGCAAAATCGTTTCATAATTTTTCTGCCAATTCGAGGCAAACTGCGTCGGTTGCTCTGCGTTTTTGCAGGCTAGTGATCTCGATGTTTGAGTCAGCTGTATCGTGTTCACCTCTCATGTGCCGGATTCAGCCAAGCATCTGATTCGTCATGTGTTTGTACTACATTACTTCCTGCTTACTTCTTCCCTTTCTTCATTCGTCATTGTGTCATCAGATATGACATAACGTCGGTCCGCAGAGCTTTATTTGAAATACCTATGCAATTAAAGGTTTGTTCGTGCTCCCGTAAGCAGCAACCATCTGCTCCAACTCATGCAGAAAGTGAACGTTTTGCCTGACTTAACGCTGGGTTGAACTGTTTAAGGTTCCGAAACTGTCATTCTGATTGTGAGAATGTCTGAAGGAGCCCATTTATTGACTTCACGTTTTGGATTGCAACCTATTCAAACGTGAATTCTATATTTGTGGCCTGCCTCCAATAATGACATACACTTTGGACCATCTACAACCACCACTTAAACTTGTCTCCTACCGATCCGCACATCAAATGTCTGCTCTTCATTAATTATTAAGCTTCCATCACGGGAATACTGTCGAGACACGAGTATTCAAGATTTATTTTTCTCCAGGAAATCTCATGTTTACGCCTGTCATGCTATGCTGGTCCAATGTAAACTGCGTTAATACTTATTTTCGAACACGTACCAAGCTTAAGTTAACGTTGCGTTTTTATATTGAACAGTGAAGCTAACATTTCATTACTTTAATAATAGAGATAGGCTAATGTTACCGCTACTGCCTTTTAAAAAACAATTTCCCGTTTTTCCATACAGAAAACGGACGTATGAATCGCTTTTTTCGGCTCTATGTTTTGCTACGTAAGCCCCTTTCAGAACACTCTCAGACTCGTATAATATCTGCTTCTCATAAAGTCTCCCCGACTTAGAGACTGATTCGCGGCATATTAGGTAATTGTTAAGCTGGAGTGCAATTTGCTAGTATTGTTACCTCGTCGTAATATTTTCACCACCCACACACACAATTTAGAAATGACATTGTTCACTTGCTAACTATCGGCTACTAATCTTGGCAACTCCAATTAACCGCAATGGGTGTGAACAGACCTAATTTTCTTGCCGCTAGCATCCGGCACTGGTAGTTTCTTGTGGAAATATCTAACGTAGTGTACTGCTTATTGTTATTTGCTCCTTTCGCATCGGTTAGAGTATCATCCAAACAAGCCGACAGCGAGACCTCTTGTGATTTGGTGCCTTAGCAGAATTGTGATTGCCATTTCAGTGTCGCGGTGATGTGTTAGGCCGGATGTACGCTGTCCTACGGAAGCGCTACGGCTGTGTAACCAGCGAAGAGATGCGTGAGGGAGAAGAATGTTTTATAATCCATGCCCGCCTTCCGGTGATTGAAAGCTTCGATCTAACAAACGAGATTCGTAAACGCACGTCTGGTCTTGCAAGTCTTCCACAATTACGTCCTGGTGGATGGGAGGTTCTCGATATTGACCCTTTCCAGCACGATGCCAGTGGTCAGATATCAGCTCTTAACGAGACCCACGTGAAGATCTGGCAGCGCCAGCAGGAGATTATCAAACGACAACGGACAACCGACAGAGAGATCAGCTTGGCGACCTCTGCAGTTGGGAGGGATGGTGCGTCTTTATCAGACAGTGATCAAGACGAAGAATTAATACAGGACGATGTAAACAACCAACTCAATCGTCTGAGAACGTACATTCGTGATGTTCGCAAAAGGAAAGGTTTAGATCTACACGAACAACTCGTAACTTCTGCTGACAAACAGAGGACATTAAAAAAGAATAAGTAACGCGTCTTCTGTGATTTTTGGTCTTTAAACCACTTATTTAACTTGAAAAATTGTACATTTCTCTTTTTGTGAGTTGTATTTCATTATCGGGTATTATAACACTTTGCCCGTCGTCGTCAGTACCCACGAGGAACTGGCTAGTTGCTGGGCTTCGAAATCTCCTGTAGCATGTTGAGTTAACAACACCTGATTGCAAGTTTCAGATTGTACAAAGTCACATTCTCTCCACTCCGATATCTTGAAATTTTGTAGTATGTATCTGTTTTCATTAGTTTGCGAATTGTAGTTGTGAATCTGTTCACAGCCCTCATGGCGATATAAACACGATGGAAGATAAGCAAATAGGGCCGTTAATTCGCTGTATTCAACAGGTGTGGAGGAATTTTAATGGCTTGTGCATTCGAACATGTACGATTCTATGTACTGCGAATTCCGATCGCCTAGTTGACTAAAAGAAGTACCATCTGCTCCATTGTGTATACGGTAAAGGTCTACATTCGGGTACTATGTAAATTATACTTTTGATTATCGTTGGTGCTTATACACGCCAACTTTTATTCGCATCTACCCTCATCTTCCTATTGGCCTATTCGACTTTGGGTGTAAAATTGCTCTAACTTGCCCTTGAGGACGCCCACGCCATGTAAGTGGGCGCATGAGAACGTACACTCGGCCTTTGGCTGAGGCTGTGAAGGATCTTGTTCTTGTCATAATTTGCGGGGGCTCTGATTCACACATGCTTTGTCTGAGTGCTAGTGTGGGTTAAGCCTATGACGTGAAAACTGATGCCGATTATTTGCGCTTTAGGCCCTGTCAGAAGCAAAAGGGCAATTTTTCCGATTAATAATAAAGACAAATGTTATAACAAATATTAGGTTAAGTGAGTCATTGATTTCCTAGTCTAAGCTCATACGCTAAAATCGGTATAGTAACTTCACTAGTTTGAATGCCCTCGTCGATTCTTCTTCAGCACTGCAAGTAGGTACTCAAAATATACATGTATTGGCCTGTGATCGGTCAGTTTCAGTCTAAGAGTGTGCAAATCTGATCACAGCTCTATCGTAAGAAGTGTAATGTAAAGCTATATGTATAACACTGTAACCCTAGCATGAGGAGGTTTACAGCATCAAAGTAAGCTTCACTGATAAATCAAAAGTCAGAAGCGTACGTCACGCGCCTCGGAGTCAGGTCCCAAATGACCACGCTACGCATTACATTTGTGCTTCGCACCCGTTCATTTCCCCCGATAGCTTCGGAATTCAACTTCCGCTATTTAACCACCTAAATACTGGAGTGGGGCAGAGATCGGCATGTTTCAATATGTCTGCGCCCTACTTTATCTACTGTAGATTACCTGTGTAGAATACCCGAGCCCTAATAGGTAAAAGACGGGTACAACAGAACAGGCTTTATTGACCAATCAGAAGCCAGAGCCA